CAGTACAGAGGTTCCTCAAAAAACTAAAAATAAAACTACCATATGATCCAGTAATTCCATTCCAGGGCATATATTTGAAGACAATAAAAACACTAATTTGAAAAGCTACATGTACCCCAATGTTCACAGCAGCATTATTTACCATAGTCAAGATATGAAAACAACCTAAATGTCCATCAATAGATGAATGGATAAAAAAAAATGTGTGTATATATGCACACACATACTGTGGAATATTACTCGGGCATAAAAAGAATGAAATTTTGTCATTTGCAACAACAATGTATTGGGGCTCTTACTTGAAGCCCTAGAAAAAAGAGCAGAATCATAAGCAATAAAGGACTTACAGGGACAATGAAGAAAGTGTGAACTCTTTTCTTAAAAAACTTTTTTGTTTTCCCTTAACGGAGGGACTGAGGATTGAACCCAGGACCTCGTGCATGCCAAACAAACTGTCTACCACTGAGCTATGCCCTATTACACAAACAGCAGTCCCAGGTTCTAAGTAAGAAATCCAGCAGTTTTGGCTCATTGTTAAAAAAAAACTCAAATCCCACACTACTACACAGTGGCCCCAGGTTCTGAAAATAAATGAGACCCCCAGCAGGACTGGCTCATTGCTGACATGGCTCAGCCTGCCTTATTGCACAGACAGTGGTTCTGGGTTCTAGAGGTAAGAATCTCAATGTCTACTGTACTGCGCATGATACAGAGGTGGACAACATGAGGTCCCAAGCTGTGGAGGAGAGTAGCAGGGAGCCCCTCACACAGGCAGCAGAGCATGGGGAAGGGCTGCAGGTTGCTGGTAGGAGACCTAAAAAAGGAGACTAATCTTTAGATCCCATCAGAAGAGCCAGAACATGAGACCAAGCTGAAGTTGTTTTCAATTTAGTTTCCCTTTGTTTTAAATACATTTTCATAATGAATTACTATCTTCTTTTTGAATTTATGTGTTCCACACCATAGTGACCTCACGGCGAATTCTGCGACATCAACCAAACTGTGGCCTTAGACCCTAGCCTCCAGTCAAGCAGAGTTGCACCTCACACCCATGCTCAGTGGAGCTGACAGAAGCGCTCCGCCTTGCCTTAACCACTGCCTGCTTTTGGTTCCTCAAGGTTATGCTCAAAGTCACCTTCTGTGGGCTGGGAAGCACCACCACCTCCTTCTCTTGCTAGTCTTCCCTTTGAAGGCCCCTGAACATAGATACTAAGTCTGGTCAAAGAAGGACAGGACTCACGTTTTCTCAGGATACTCATGGGAGGCAGGAGGGGAACATCAATTTTTGTCGGCTATCAGCCAGACTTAGCAATTCCACTCCTGAGTATATACCCAAGAGAAACTCTAATACACATGTACCAGTGACAACCATAAAAAGTAATACACTACAAGAGCAAAATATTGGAAATAGCCCCAAATGTCCATCAACTGGGGAACTGATAAATGATGGAATATGTGGAATATATGGGATACTACACAGCAGCGACAGCTTGACACATCGGCATGGATCAATTTCATATACAGTAGGGTAATAACAGTAAGTCACAGGACATGTATTCTTTAGCTCAACATATAAAAGTTAATAATAATTCCAAACAATAAATTATTTAGGGTATATACGTGGCAAAATTAGGAAACAGCAAGTATCCATAGGGTGTAAAGGAGGGAGACGTTACCAGGGAAGTACACACAAGAGCCTCAAGGTGTTGGCAATTGTTCTGTTTCATAAACAAGGTCGGTGGGTACACATATTTATTTTCTAATATTTTCTACATTTCTGAAATCTGGATGGTCTTGAGATGTAGCTGTCAATATCATGAATATATCTTAACCAGTTTCTTTTAAAACAGTTTACTTTTTATGTATTCACAAGGGTGATAAATGTCAAAGTCTGAAAGATTTTTTAAAATAAATATAAAAAATTCCAAGTGACAAGAAATCATTGTGTCAGTTTAAGTGGTATAATTTTCTTAGTAGTACATATAGTATACATTATGCTTGATGACATTATTTTTAATGGAATACTAAATTTTTAATCATATACATTGCATGTATAGTTTTACAAGTATGGTATATTTTACAATAAAAATGTATTGTCTTTCATCATTTCTCCATATTGCACAGGGGCAAGAAAAGCCACAAATACCGCTAATTTAGTACTATGTAAGTGGAAAATACAGGAAATTATGGCAGAGACAGACTGCTGGTTGTCTACTCAACACCCATTCTTGCTTTCCCTCCTAACAGACAATTTTACTGGGAGCAGGACCCTCATAGCTTTGGCTCCTAAGAGTCTTCATGCAATCAGAGAAGTAAGCTAGAAGAAAGCTAGCTCGGTTTATTGACACTAATGTTGAATGGCTCTTAAATTTTTTTCTGAATCTTCTAATTTTGTTACCATACTAAAATTTTTTCTTGAATTGACATACATCAAAATTGATCTTTTTGGTGTACAATTTTATGAGTTTTGACATACGTATAGATTAATGGAGCCACCACCACAATCAGAATACAGAACTGTTCTATCACTCAAAAAAGTTCTCTTGTAAAGTCCCTTTTTAGTCAAACTTCCTGCCTGTCCTAACCCCTGGTAACCACTGTTATGTCCTCTGCTGCTCTAGTTTTATCCTTAGCAGCTGTCATATGGATGAAATCACACAGTATGTAAGCGTTGGAGACTGGTTCTTTCACAGCATAATACGTTTAACATACCCTTCCCTGTGTGTCAATGACTCACTCCTTTCACTAGAGTAGTCCCACATGTTGTTTTATCTCTTTACTAGTTGAAGGACATTGGGGTTGTTTCCGATCTTTTACTATTATAAATAAAGCTGCTATGAATAAGAGCACACAGGTTGTTATTATGAACATACATTTTCATGGGAATGATGGGCAATATGATATGTTATAAGACCACCAAACTGTTTTCTAGAGAGGCACAATAATTTTGCATTCCCAAATCAGTGATGTGTAAGAGTACCACTTGCTTGTCATTCCTACCAGCAGCTGGAATTGTCATTTTTCCCCCTTTCTATCTAATAAGTGTACAGTGATAGCACATGTGGTTTTCATTTTGTTTTCCTTAATGGCTAAAAATAATGATCATATTTTCGTGTACTTATTTGGCATCTGTATACCTTCCGGATGAAGTGTATAAGTCTCTTGCCCATTTAAAAATTTTGTTGTTTCCTTACTGTTGAATTCTAAGAGTTTTTTATTTATTACAGATGAAAGTTCTTTGTCTGCCATGCAATTTCCAAGCATTATTTCCCAATCTGTAGCTTATATTTCAATTTTATTAGCAATGTATTTTGCAGAGCAAAGTTTTCAATATTAATAAAGTCTGTTGATTGTCTTTTCCCTTGTGAGAAGTCAAGACTTCCTTGGTTCCTTGTGTTGTGTAATTCTGAACTGTTTCCTGGACATTTTGAATAGTTTAAAATATAAATTCATAGAGATTATAAATTTATGTTAATATTTATGTAATATATAAAGTTTAAATTTTTGACATCAATAACATAAAGGAGGGAATAGAGATTTAAAGAAGCAGAGTTTTTGTATATGACTGAAGTTAAGTTGGAATCAATTCAAAATGGATTCAAGATAATTTTAGGATGTTATATGTAATCCCCTGGTAAACACAAAAATATATCTAAAAATATATACAAAAGAAAATGAGGAAGGAATCAAAATGTGTCAATATAAAAAATTAACTAAACACAAAGAAAGAAAGGTAGTAATGGAGGAAATGAAGGACCAAAAACAAAAACAAAACAAAACCCTGTAAGACACAGAGAAAACAAATATCAAAATGGTAGGAGTAAGTCCTGCCTTATCAGTAATTACTAACCTAGAAATGGATTAAACTCCCCAGTCAAAAGGTAGAGATTGGTACAATGGCTTAAAAAAATGATCCAACTATATGCTGTCCACAAGAGACTCACTTTAGGCGAAGGACACCATAGTTTGTAGGCAGAAGGATGGGGAAAAGATATTTAATGCAAACAGTAATTAAAAGAGAATAAGGGTGGCTATTACTAACATCAGACAAAATAGACTTTAACCCAAAAACTGTTACATGAGACAAAGAAGAACATTACATATTGATAAAAGGGTCAATTCACTAGATATAATAACTAAATATATATATGCACCAAATATCACATCTCCAAACTACATGAAGCAAACATCGTTAGAATTGGCAAGAGG